TAAGGCTCCGAAACGACCGGAAGTAAATCATTTCCTATGGAGATTCACAGACCGCATGCGAATGGGTCCGAAACGGGTCCAACCGAGTGTGGTGCGAAGAAAATCGTGTCCGTTGGTCATCTGGATGAGTTCAAAAAATTTAACTCTTGCGAAAAGCTACGGACGGTTACCATCCGACAATTCCAGCGGAAGTTAGCGTTGCTATGATACTGATAAACAAACCTAAACTCTTAACTTTTAATAAAATAAATAATGATTTTATAACGATAAGTTGTCATGTCATTTTTTTATTTTCATGATTTTCTAACCTTATTAGGGCAGTTAATACAATTAAATTGTAGGCAGACATACCACTATATCACATTTTTTAACCAACCTGACATGTCAACGTCCTGAGCAACTTTCCTCATGCAGCAGCCTTCCTATTAATATCTCTATAACCCTCATCAGAGAGATCATACAGAACTGCAGAATCAACCTTTCTAATCTCTCCGCCATTTTTGTTCTACCCGCTTCCGACGCTTTTCACTGTGTAGTACGATGTCCGTTGGGGGCGTATTACGGAGCTGATTTCAACTGCCAGTGTGAAGGCGGCGTTAGTAGGTTGACTCTGAGTTAAGCGCGTGCACCAAGACTATGAAAAGCCATGATCAATGGAGCTCCGAAATTACGATTCACCATGGCAACAACACCAGACAAAAAGACGTCCACATACTTCCGAGTCAATACGACAATTCACCATGACGTCACAACAGTAATAGACGTTCTTCCGGGTGGCAAAAGCCGAAGCGTTCCTATGGCAACGCTAGTAAATTGCTTGGTTGGGAGACCCACCGTCGACAGTAAAAATATAATAAAAATAACAAATTTAATTAAATATAATGTGTTTTTTTAATCATAATAACAACTGTGTTTAATGATATAAGTAAAACATATAATACATAATGTAATATAGTAGGCCTACACATAATTAGCTAAATACTCTCTTGCTCTTTTTTCTAGCCAAAATAACGTGCTATATAGCCTATCATGGTCATTAAATGGCTTTCCTGAGGTAAATGTTATTTGACATATTTGTTCTCCAGCTGTTATATTGACCTCTTTGCGCGGTTGAAAAACACATATTATGTATGAGGAATATACATTTCGGTAAGTTGCGTGAGAAAATGGATGTGTGGCGTGAGAGCATGTGAAAAGTGACAATTGCGTGAGAGTCACGGTCAATGCGTGAGAGTGGGCAGCCCTCTTTTACTTCAGGCTGGCAATGAGTCTGATCTTCAAAAGAGACAAGTTTACTAATATTAGTCTCGAAACTCCCCGGCTGAAGATAAATGCTCTATGATTTTGTAGATGGACCATTAGAATACACGAAGCAGAGTTGAAGGGCAAGCAGGGTTGGCAGCAGAAATGTAAACGTTGGATGAATCATATAATTTAGGGGATCATTAAGATTTCCTATTGACGACCACAGTCTATGTTGACGACACAATGTCCACTCGCTAACCTCCTCACCCACAGGAAATCGATAAAACCCCGACACCTTTTGCTGTATATCTGGCAGCGCAACCCCAGACACAACACGTTTTCATCATCGTTTCAACTTTGATCAACAACAATGTTTTTAACGATGTAACTGTTGTAGCCGGCTGGATCTCTTCAGTTGGTCAATAGAAGCCGCTTGCGTTCTGCCACCCGGAAGTATCTCGGTGCCTATTGTTTACAAACATTCTGAAATGCCGAATACACAAGTATAATTCTTAATCACTGTTATATTATCAGGTGAAAACTGACAGAAAGGTAAGTTATTGAACTAAAAATGAACAATAAATTCATAATTCAATCAGTTAAATCTTTAAGCATAAAAGGCTGTAGGCTACATGACTTTACATGACTTTTTTTTAATTATAATGAAATTAACATTTGACTTCTACTGGGCCAACAGCAAGAAGGCATAGGCTGGACCTGCACCACCACTGACAGATGAAGAGGAGACACAATATTGGAAGAATATTAAAATCCAACAGTAAAAAGAATAACTGTTGCTTTTGTATTGTAGGAAATAAAGATGTCCAAATAAATTGTGAATAATTTGTGTGTAACAGCTGTGGTGGTTACGGCATATATCTATCCTTCCATCTGGCATCCTTCCATTCCATACAGTAATCTGTTTCATTTTCGGAAGGTGCGATGATGGGAATATGCATGTCATCAATGCATCCAAACACAATCCTAGAAAAATCCTAAAGGAAATTCTAATTATTATAGGTTACTTTCAGAGGTCACAGCAAGATGTTATCAAATGAACATCATTTATCAAATTAGCCTAATTTAAACCGATTTCTCCACCACTGTCCTGCAATTCTGTGAAACTTCTCTTTGATGGATCTCATGAGTTTGTGTCCGGGAAACAACACAAAAACTCTCAGAAAGAGCGTGAGAGCGAGGCACACTTTCCTTCCTGCTCTGATACAGCAGCCTTATGTGCTCTCTCCGATGTTATCACTGTAAAAAAAAAATCCGTTAAATTTACAGGAAAAAACTGGCAGCTGTGGTTACCAGAGTTTTCCTGTTAAAAATACGGTAGCAACATTTTAGGTTTTACAGACTTTTAACCGTATATAATTGTACAGCAATAAACCGTATTTCATTATCTGATATAATGTTAATTTACTGACCTTTTGAAGTATTAATATCTGATTTGTTCTTGTAATACACTGACAGCCAACAATCACAGCAGTAATGAAAGTCAAATGATCAATCAAAGCTCATTATAAGCAGCTCTTCCACAAGAGAGTTAATACTAATATATAGAAGCTGCACAGTGGTATTCACACAAACATTAAACACCATCATGGTAACATGTTGAAATTTAAAAAATGCAATAAGCATTAATTTAACAACATTAAATGTAACATAAAACCCTAATGTACATAACTGATTAGGAAAAAAAAACTAAGAAAATTATGAAGAAACAGTTATTTAAAAAAAATAATACATTAAATGTGAAGTGTCACGCAGGGAATTGTGGGAATGTCAATTTACATTTTTTCACTGTAAATTATACAATGACTTGTTCTTTTTCACTTCCAAAAACTGTAAATTTAACGGTATTTTACAGTAAAATTACATTAAATGTACCATTATATATATCACAGTTATTTAACGTATACAGTAAGGAAACTTTGTGAACCAATTAACAGTTTTTCACTGTAGCATTTTTACAGTCTTTTACCGTTAAAATCACGATCATTTTTTACAGTATGTGCAATGAATGAAGGTACTGCACTGCAAATAATGCTTACTTCTTACTTAGCATTTTTGTCTTGTTGTTTCCAGTCAAAATATCTAAAGATTATTTACCGTAATTCCTCAAATAAAGACCGGTATTCAAATAAACGCCGGGCCTCTGATAGTGGCCGGGGGCGTGGTCAACACGGACAAATAAAGGCCGGTCTCAAATTAAGGCCGGGGAAAAAATAGTGTACACTCAAAGACGGACGCGCTCAGCGCTTGTCATATATCACAACTATTCAGTGTTTTCAACCACATGTTTATTTTAGGTTTCAGACATTTAAATAGATATGATTTATAGCAAAACAATAAATTTATAGTTTGTAAAATACACAATGGTGTCTATGGAAGCAGCAATAACAATCCATTCAAATATATTTGGCGACGTGTTTTATTCATATCAGATACACAGTGTGTAAGTAACTATAAAGTTTACTCTATTCTTCTCCCAGTTCACCGGCCACTTACTTTCATGTATTTCGGGAGAAACTGAAGAATTCACGCGCTGTAACTTAACAAATACAACAGGAATCTCCGAACTGCGGTGCCCATCTCACGTTACAGATCAAGATCATTTATAAAGGGTTTTAAACGACAAAACAAACTCACTTACACGGATTTGAGAGTCAGAATAGAAGATAGTTGATGACATGGTAAGCAAGTTTGTTAATATTTAGAAATAAAAGCGCTACATCTGTCATACAGCGCTATTTTGGCTGTGGTGAACACGTGCCAAGCATGACGCGTCACCATGGAAACTTGGCTGGCGGGCGGGCGGGGATCGCGAATTAGAAATAAAGGCCTGCCTCTAATAAAAGCCTGCTTCAAATAAAAGCCGGCTACCATCTGCAGTTCAGGTAAATAAAGGCCCCGGCCTTTATTTGAGGAATTACGGTAATCAAGATGCATTTTCTAAAATAAAAACTCTGGGTTTACATAAGAAAACCTGCTCCCGACCAGGTTAGGTTCACAGAGTAAGTTACCATGGTAACTGACTCTGAGTATAAGTTACCTCTCTTTCAGAAACGGGCTTGATTACTCTGCTTTCTCGGGTTTGACATACCTCCCATTCTGAAAAGGAAAACCCAGAGTTTGCCTCGTTTCAGGGTTAACACACTCAGAGTTTTCACTTAACCTCCTATCTGAAACAGGCCCCTGTTCTGAAACCTAAAACTCAGAGTTTCCCATCTCAGGGTAAATCAACTCAGAGTTCAAGTTTTAACTCAGTTGGTTGAACCTCCTTATTGAAATGGGCCCCAGGAGTCAAAGTTGAAGTTCAATCACTTGACAGAGAGTTTACTGAAGACAAAGTTTCCACACTTAAGATGATCCAGCCTCAAACTAACTTGAAACAGCTATATTTATAAGGATAAGTGCGTTTATTTGATCAGACCCCAAGTTTCATTGGCCAAATGTTCTTGTGTAGTTGTGCTGTGTAGCATGGCTCATGTTTACCATTGACTGCATGTGTGCTTTCATGTTTTTGTGTTATGTGGAGCATGCGACACGTGTTTATCATCAGCCTTGTGCTTCCTTATTGTCATGTTTTTTTTCCAGTCTGTGAGAGCTCTGGCTGTTATCACGTTCTCCTGTTCTCCCATCTATTGTCTCAACCCTGCCCTTCTTATCTGATTATTATTCATTCTTATTATCTGATTGTTATCTGATTATTGGTTCATTTGCCCTACTTTCTCTTCCTTTATACCCTTTCATTCCCTATTTATTCTCCATGTTCTCAGTCCGTTGCCAGTTCGTCGTTGTTACTCGTCCTGTGTGAACCTCTTTAGGTCATCCCATAATTTCAAGTCCTGTCCTGTCCTGCCGTGTCCAGGCCGCTCTACCTCGCCAGCCGTGCCGGTGAATCCTGCATTTTCTCATTGGGTATAGTTTTTGTTTGTTTTTTGTTTTGTTTTATCAATTACTAAAGCAAATAATACTTTGCATTTGAGTCCTCTCTACATCCTTACCCACAAACCTGACACAAACAGACTGAGGACGAAAGCAGAGAAGAAAGCATCTGAAAAAAAAAACGCTTATAGGACCATGAGACTTTACATCCTTTTCAGTTTTCTGCTTTTGGCTGGTGAGAAATTACAATTTAACTTATAGCATCATGCCTGCATTTTTATTCTAAAACTTAACTTGTAAATGCTGCTTATGAGTAAGAAAGCTATTGCACATGTTAGAAGTCTATTGCACAAATGAAACATTAGTCATTTTGAAAATGTTTATATTTTGAAATGTACAATTAATCCGTTTAAGGCTAAATTAAATACAGGTTTAAAAGAAAAATAAATTTTCATGTTTCTTATATTATAGTAAACGGAAATGAGTATTAAGATGAAGTTTTATTGTTACCATTTTTAAATAATTCACTGATGTTTTGTGGTGTCATTAAAAACATTGTGAAAAGAGTAAACATTGCAAAAACATTAAAAAAAACACAACGAAATACAGTAATTATGCAAATTCAATGTCAAATTTAATGTGTGTCTCTTTTTCAGTGATTTGCAGCTCTTGTGTTGATGCTAGCCGAGGTATGAAATGTTAATAAAGAAAAAGACAAACATACAGACAAATATAAAGACAGACAGGAAGCATAAACAGAGATGAGTAAAAAAAAAAATCTATTTCTATTTCACAGGGAAATTTGGCCGCCTCTGCAGTAACCCAAGTAACCGTATAAGAGGATGTGATAGAAAGGGCTGTGGACACTATGGAGCCAGTCGGTAAATTCTGTTTTTGATCATGTTTCTTCTGATTGTCTGTATATAAATGATTTATTCTCTATTTAACAAGCAAATTTTGTTTTATCTGACTTTTATCTCCTCATAGCTCTTCCCCAGAAGTCATTGACTTCACATTTAGCAAATAACACATTTGTAATGGAGGTGTGCCATGACATATATCATTCTTTTGTTTTTAATGTGTTACCACACAAATTTGACACAACCCAACATTACAAAATATCTTTATTCTGCATCATACACTCTTAGAAAAAAAAGATAAATTGAGTTCTATATAGAAAGGTTCTTTATTCAATTTTAATAAATATTTTATGGCAAATGGGTTCTATAAATTAGACACCATACTAATACAATAAAACAAATACAATTCATCACCATTTACTCACCCTCATGTTGTTAACATACTGTATGACCTTCTTTCTATTTTGGATACCAACCAGACAGCTTTTTTCCATTCAATGGAAAATTTGTAAATTAATGTGTAATAATATTATTATTCACTGTACAATTGTCACAAGAAAAACAAAAAAAGTTTGATGTAACTGATGTCAGATCTTGATTTATTGCATCATGTTTAAATGCATATTACGATTTGAGAGCTAGGGAAAGAAAAATAACTTTCTACTTAATTTTGGTCACATTATGTGTGTTTGTACTGCAGTGGGAATCGGAAACATTTGGGTCTTGACATTGTGTGTGCTGATGGAGACACAGTTTATGCTCCATTTGATGTGAAGCTGAATGGCAGATCTAGGCCATACTCAAAGAACAATGCTATCAATGATGGCATTAACTTGAGTGGGCAAGGTGTGTATTTTAAATATCCTAAAGCATGAATTAGCAAAATTTTATTTTAGAGACATGTCTGTGGAAAAAAAAGTGCTTGCTTGATAAAATACTACTACTACTACTACTACTAATAATAATATAGGAATAAGATTTCGTACATCAAAAGAATAATCTTATATCTCCCACATAATATGTTTGACAGGTCTCTGCTTCAAGATGTTCTACGTTAAGCCGGACCGTTACACCGGGACCCTGAAGAAAGGGCAGAGGATCGGACGTATGCTCCGAATGCAGAGCGTTTATCCTGGCATCACTTCCCATGTTCACGTTCAAATGTGTGACTTATCAAATCCCACCAAGTACTTCTGATGGTGATGGATGGTGATGGAGTTGATGACCACATGCAATCATCAAACCAATTCAAAATCTTCTGCCATCACTCTGAAAAGTAATACTGTAAAAAAAGTAATACTGAAAAAAAAGTTTAACAGGTATTACTGAAAAGTAATACCTGTTAAAATTAAATTCCAAGTTAAAATTATTATTTATTAAATTAAAACTTTTAAGTTGCAAACATTATTTTTTTAGTTATGTTGGACATAATAATGTTGATCTATGCCTTAAAGTAACAACAGGTAACTTTTCAGCCTTCATAATATATTTCCAAGTCTCTTGTGAAGGTACATCGACTTACAATAGGTTGAATGACACGTCTGCCATAGCCTGACGGGGTCTGTAGCGTTTTTAATCGTACTTTTAAACTTCGGGTTTCGGGTAGTAACCGGCGAACAAAGAGAGCTACAAAATTCGACTGCTTTACGGCATATACGTCACTTCCACCACCACCCCCACTTCCTTAAAATCGGACTTGCGAGCCAAATGTTATAGTCATGGCCGAAGCAGCACAGAAAAACAAGACAGCAAAGGTTTTATCGGAGCAAAGCAAAAAGAGAAAAAGAGAGTGATCGCGTTAAAGGCAGAACGAGGATCAACATTGCAGAGCTGCCAACTCTCACGCATTGGCCGTGAGACACCCGCATTTAATTGGTTTCACACCCTCACACGCCACACCCCCGGTTTCTCACGCTAAATTGTCAACCCGGTCGGTCAAATGCCTGAAAGATGAGTTTATCTATAGATCTCTACCTGTTGAGCCACTCGTGATCGACAAGTTATACCGCAAATTAGTTCAAATCTCCCGGAATCTAGAGCGAGCGCGCACGCGAGACAGAGACTGTGCTCCAACGCGCGCGGACGGCAGAGAGAGAAAGCGAGCGAGAAAAAAGAATGCCTCTCTCTAACCTCTCTAATTCGCTAGAGTAGTAGCGAATTATCAATCTGGTAGCTAGTAAACGATATTCTAGTTTTTGATGGTTAGCTATCGCTAGTATTCTCGTTCTGATTTGAACTTTGCAATCGATGAAATGCAAATAGCAAATGTTTGACCTAAAAAGTGTAGTCTACTCAACATGTACAAAGAAAGGAGGAAGATTATTAATAAAATCATATTTTAGGATACCTAACATGTCTGTGATATTTGTTTATTTGTCTTGCCTCAAGCTATAATGCAAATCGATTTGTAAAATTTGCAGATTCATTTATGGTAGCTTGATATTATAATATTGACGATATATGGTTATTATCAACCACTCAAACATTGCATTGAAGTATCATATAGATTCAGTAAAACGGTAACCAATAGACTAGGCTACTATAATGACGCTGGCTTGTAAACGTGAGCATCGCGATCATTTATCGTTAGAAAAAAAAATAAAACCCATGAAATTATATTCATATGACATGCTGAAATATATGCCACTGTACCTGGGATGAAGACATTTCACACGCGATGCAAGCAGAACACCTGCATGTGACCTCCTCCTACAGTGTTCAGGGCTATCATGGTTGTCAACAAATGCACGTGCATGTAGGATGACAGTTTACGACAGTAGTAGAGGACAATACTGTTTCCCAACTGTAGGGGGAGCCCGAGAGCAAAAAACGACCTGTTGTTACTTTAATATTGTGTGTACTTTAAACTCATATTTCTGCGTTAATTGATGATTTTTAATTTTTTTGTTGTTGTTGTTGAGCTAACACATTTCTTTTTGTGTATATCAGCTTTATTTCTTAATGCTGGGGCCCAGCACTTTGCGATCCAACAATAAAGATTTAAAGACTATTATGTTCTCAGTGTTACATGTCTTAAATAGTGCCATCATAGCATATAAATCATCCTTTTTTTTTTTACTTTACAAAGAAATACAAAATATTGTCTGCTAATTGCACTGAAGTTATAGACACTGATAATAAGTAAGTGAAGTAAAAACAATCAAACGACATACACATCTCTAGAGTGGCTGTGTGCTCTAATAAATGTTCATGTTTAGTTTGAGCCGACCTGTTTTTTTTAATGTTGTTTTGTGTAGTGCTCTGACCTCTATTCTCGGCTCTTTGTAGCAACCATTAATTACACATTTAGCTAAAGTCCCTTTCAAAAGGGTCTGTTCACCCAGCGACCATATTAGCAACGCCTCCGGGCAGCTATTTCAGGCATCCAAGACCAAGTCCTATCTATTTAAATGGGGGAATCCTGAAATCTCAAAAAACTGCTTGCCGAACTCACAATTAAATAAAATATTTCAAATCAGCAACAAAATCTTATGAACTGTCCAATAAATGTTGTTTTTATGCTCAAATAGTGCTAAAAAGCTTATTTTTCAGGCTATACCAGCCAATGCGTATGTGCAGTCCTAAGCGCAAGTCTCAGGTTTCTATGAGAACCGGAACTGCAGTGATGCAGTGCAGTGAAGCAATGACTTTACCAATCAGCAATTGGCTCTTTTATTTAGGATGTGGTACTTATTCCGCATTGCAGTTTCTCCCATTCAGAAATAATATGAATGCACTATCTTTGTATATCTAAAGTCATTTGCTGTAGTCCATTTGTGCACGCCAGTTCAGAAAACCACAGAGAGATTTTCTAATAGTCTCTGAGGCCATGTTTACACGGAAACGATTCCGGGTGAAAACGTAAAAATATTTTATCGGATGTGCCTTTCGTTTACACGGCAACGGGGTTTTGGGGACTTAAAAACGCAAAAAAGTGAAACCACCCTCCAGAGTGGAAATCTTAAAAACGCTCCACCGTCGCGTTCCCGTCTAAATGGTAAAAACGCAAATCTGCTCACGGCGGCTCTCGTCACGTACGCGTTTACGTCACATGCATGCGCCAGTACAGGAAAATAACAACCAACATGTCAGATTATTTCCATACGTCGGACCTTCAAGTTGCCCTAGCAGCTCTGATAAACGTCCAAGAGTCTTTTCAACAGTTGTACAAAATATTCTAAGACATTGGTGTTGTTGTGTGGCAGTGCTTCACATTGCCACCTAGCCGCCTAGAGTGCATACTACATCGAATTTCACACACTTTTGCGTCACCATATGCACGCGGATTTCCCAACCATAACGCTCGTCTAAACGCAGAATAAAAAGTGATAACGCAACGCCACTTTTGCGTTTTCTCTTTAGATCGTTTCCGTGTAAACATAGCCTGAGAGAACTGTGTAACTGCTGATTTTGAATTACACTCACCTAAAGGATTATTAGGAACACCTGTTCAATTTCTCATTAACGCATTTATCTAATCAACCAATCACATGGCAGTTGCTTCAATGCATTTAGGGGTGTGGTCCTGGTCAAGACAATCTCCTGAACTCCAAACTGAATGTCAGAATGGGAAAGAAAGGTGATTTAAGCAATTTTGAGCGTGGCATGGTTGTTGGTGCCAGACGGGCCGGTCTGAGTATTTCACAATCTGCTCAGTTACTGGGATTTTCACGCACAACCATTTCTAGGGTCGTATATTCCAAGTGGTCCGGGGGTATATGATATGAAATTTAACATATTATTTAAAGAAAATCCTGACCTTGGCCGTTTGTCTTGCAGTGCATGGCACACAAGTTTTGAGAAATCAATATTAACAAAAACAGGACACAAAATACAATCCATGTACCTTCTCTGAGGTGAATATATCTGTTGTGTGTGTCATAACAAAAAGTTATCAATTGTCATTCTGACATCAGACATACGGAGTTCCGGTGCGGAGATATTTAACTTAGTGAGGAAAGCATTGGTGGTATCAGGATTGGCCACAAGAGGGAAGCATAGTACATATACGGGATTCGGGAATCAGCTTGTGTCAGGGATTAATATTTAATTTGCCCTGTTAAGCAGCTTAAGAACATTATTCACCCTCTGCATTATAATTAGTATTTTACAGTATTAGACTTTTCGGTGCATAAAATTTGTACTAATATTATCATATAATATTACTTTCTTGAGATATTTAAATTTTTCATATTTATTTTTATAGATGTTTGTTAATTTTAAACTATTTGCAATATTATATTATGTTAAAATGCAGTATTGTAAATTTACAGAGCCACAAGAAATTGTTATTATTGCTAATAGTTTATTTTCAAATGTATGCATTTGCATATTAAATTAAGCAAGTAGAAAAAAACAATCTAAAATAAAAATGGTAACAATACCTATTAAAGATCATATATATTTGAAAAGTGCTGTAAATTTTGAGTCATGTCACATAGCACCTGGGGGCACTCCATGTACAACTGTTTGTCCCCACAAAAAAGAAAAAAAAAAGAAAAGAAAGGATTTTTAGCATCAGAGTATAGCTTTGCTCTGCTGAGACCATAAACCTTAGTGACAGTGGAAAATGTCTGGTCAAACCGGCCAACTGTGCGATTTACTTCTACACCAAACATTTATCACATTCCAAGGGTTTCTTTATGTCCCAATCTCTCTTCTGTCCTCTCACTGTTAGCGCTTGGTGTTGTCCCATCGTAAGGACATGAACGTCCTGTTGTGAACATGATGTACTGTAGCGCCATGTATCCTCCTAACCTCGGAATATGAACTTAGATCTTGTCAGAAGAGAAACAGATTCTCCAGCAAGCCACATTTACGGTTTCTATTCTATTCTATTCTATTCTATTCTATTCTATTCTATTCTATTCTACTGAATCAGACATATTGTGAATATAAAACATTTCACAAATAATTAAAAATGTCAGGGCAGGTGCATTATTACTAAAGTTTATTTTATACATTAATAATGGCCAGTTTCTTTCTTTGTTTTAAAATAAAATGCCTGATGTATCCAGATCACGTCACATGCAGTCTGGTATTATGATGAAAACTATTTTCATCCCTTTATTGGATCTTGCCAGCTGTCTTCATTCATGTCTCTCCCTACTGTTACTCTCTAATTGCACAGACCAAACTTTCATCCGTTCCATTACAGATGATCAAACCAGGACATAGAGAGTTCCACTGGGCAGTGTGAAT